TTATTTTCTGGCATCCTGATGCCTTTGTATATGAAAACCAGATAGAAATAAATGTTGACTGAATCACAACAACATAGTCGCAACCGTCCCTAAATTTAATGAAAAGTAAACATATGAAGCAGAATCTAAAAAGTTTATTAGTTAGAGTTGTTTCATGTTATCACTCATCCCTGCATTTTAAAATAATGCTTTTGCATATTGGTTGTTTTTTTTTTTTTTTTCAAAAAAATTAGAAATCAATCACTGGTTACACCTCATTTCTGCTTCTCCCCCCCCACACCCCCAGTTCTAGTGTTATTTGTACTTTCATCAGTTAGTCAGTCTGAGTAGATTAAGCATATCCCAGTCATTTAATATTAGTAACAATATTTCTCCAAAACTGCTTCCCAGCATAGATTATGGACTCTGAGATGCTAAAATTGTTAGAAAATGCATGGTATTAAGCATGTTGCTAGCTAATAGATACTACCAGAAAAAAAACCCCACAATAAATACTAAGTATTGTGCAACTCTCTGGAAGGGTGCATATAACCACCAGGAAGTTTGTTTTATCATTTTATAGTATAGCTTAAATAGGGAGAACAATGAATGAGGCAGGCTACAAATTCTAACAAGGAACACTGGTGATGACATACAGCTCAACACCAGAGCTTCGGAGATTAAGTAATGCCACATTAACCTGAGAGGGTATGTGCTTTACTTAGGGTACATGTAATAGAAATTAGTCTTAATGGAGTCACTGAAACCAGCAAGAAGCACCAATGCACACTAGGATGACTATAGCACTGCTGAAACCCAACTGGCATGTCCTTAGATATGCTCCTTTCTAGAGATCATATAATTGTCAAAAAGATGGAAGAAATATCACATAATGGGGGAAAAAGAATAATAAAGAAAAACAGCACCCACTGACCCACTGCAATATAAACTTTAGTGCCTCAAGAGAGTGACAGGGATTTAGAGCAACTTGGTGGCTCACCTGAACATGAAAACACATGTTCATTTAGTAATTTTGCCCTACCTACAAGGTGACCTTGAGAAGTTCTTAGTGTTTCATATAAACAAACAAGAATAATAAATTTTAAACTAAACTAAATCTGCTTCTATTCTAGTCAATTATATTTCCTATCAAATTTCAGATGACATTTCAGTCAAAAATATCTTGAGCCACCTATCTATCTACCTATCTGTCTCTTCATCCCTGAGAAAATGCATGATGACATAATAAAATTTTAATTTTGAAATTTGATGATTCCCTCACTTCTTAGGATTTATTTAACTTGTTTGATGTATGTGAACAGGAACTACATCTGACTGCAACTGAAAAAAATAATATCTCCAGATCTGGTTTGAAAGAAAAGGAGGAATGTTTTTTAATGATGATTTTGATACACAAGAATAGTGAAAAAAATTCTTACATTAGATGGCACACTAAGATCTGGACAAGTTGTTAACATCTTGCATCTTTTATATGATCTTTTCCATGAGCATATTGACATGATTTTTAATGACTATTTTTCATTAACTGAGAAAAATAGACCTGTATGTTTTCTACCCTCTGAAGAAGGGCTTCAGGTAAGTTTAATTAGCAAGACCTAACCTTGCCAAAGTGAGAGCAATTTGACTTAAGAACTAATTTAATAAGATTCTACTACTACAGTAACCTCAAAGCTGAAACTAGGGCAAAAGAAACCCCTAAGAAAACTTTAAACAATCATGGTCAGTCTCATAGCATGGTGACATCTGCAAAGTTACATGACTGACAAGCAAAACTACACAGTGGAAGTTCTGCATTTCCCCTGTCTTTTGAAGACATACAAATTAGAATTACTAACTAGATTCAATAGCAGAAAGTGCATGTTAATAGCAAGTATTTCTAAGCAACATATTGCTCCAGGAAGAAAGGTGACAGGAAAAGGCAATTTTAAACTCTGTGGCAATGGTTTAGAATAGCTAATTGTAACCTTTTTTTCTTTCTTTTTAACAAGTACATTTTGTTAACTTAGAAGCTGTTTAGTTGGTAATCAATCAACAGTGTCTGAAAACTAGGATACAGCAAAGAAATGGGACTCCTGGAAAAGAGTGCTGTTCTGCAGAGTACTTTCTTTTCTCATTATGACATAGACTGCATGTTTTTTCTCATTTATTCCTTTCATATACATTTATCTCATTTTTATACATTAAAATCCAAAGTTCTTGTACTCATTTATAATCATATTTATTTCCAATATCGAAACTTAGAATCAGTGGATTAGTGAAGCTTTTCTCCTTAGTAATACAACAATTCTTACAAAACAAAGAATTATTTCTGTATCTTCTCAGCCACCTCTTGTTTCTGCCAGAACAGCACAGACAGGTCATGCAAGGCAACAGAAAGACTATCCACAATGGTGTAACAGCAGTACAGGCCTCCCTCAACTCCAGCATTGTGAGAAGACTTGGAGTGAACCAGCTGGTCCTCTCCTGAAAAGAAGAGAATCAGCAAGACGAGGCCAAGGCCAGAATACCCTAGAGATGCACTAAATCAGTGCAATTTCTGCAGCAACCTCCCACAGGCAGGACTCTAGAGCTTAAAATCTGTTTTCCTTGGCAAGCGCCACAGTGAATGAGTCTACAACCCCCATAGGATTGCTATTACCCCTACCCTTCAAGTATTTTCTCTGACACAGTTGCCATCTGAGGTGAAGGGAATAAATGAAAGAAGGCAAACTGTAAGTGTAAACCATAATTTACATGCAACAGCTATGGATGTACCAATCAATGAAAAACATACTGAGTTCAAAATGCAAAACTAATGCCACTAGAGACATGTGACTTTTATACCTTCACTAGCACAGAAAACCTGTTCTGCCAGGAGGTGAGCTGAGAGGAAAAAAGAGTACAGTACTAAGGACAAGTGTCATTTCAGTAGGGGATGTTTCCCTCTGCAAGGCAGGGAAAACAGGTGACACTACGAGAACATTTCAAACCCTGCCCTATGAATTTGAGTTCAAGGGTAAAACAGGTAACAGATCAGGAGCAATGAATCTCTCATCTCTTTTTCCCCCTTCTTTAAGCAACATCACCTAACATATTCTTCAAAAGCAGACAGACACTACAAGTGTACAGAGAACACAAAAATGTACAGAGTGTTATAGAATTTGGGAATGTCAAGAAAAAAATAATTGAACCTATTTCCCATGCCTCGTCGTATTCATTTTTCCAATAAATACACATCAGCATAGAAAATATTTCAAATCTTTTACGAAGATGCCAAACATGAACACACATTAACACAAAAAAACCCCAACCCAACCCAAAAAAATAAAACCCAACCAACCAACCAAATCCCCCAAATCCACAAAAAAAAACCCCCAAACAACCAAGAAAACCCCAAGGAGATCAGGACCTTGCAGAAGAGTGCCTGCACTAGGTCAAAGGAGCCATGGCAGTTCAGCATCTGTCTCAAAAAGCGTGTCTGTGAAATTGAATGAGAACAGGGCCAGCACAGAGCATTATTTGCCCAAAATACTGTTCCCAGCCTCTAATGATTTGCATCCCAGAAACTTACCGAGTCAGAGACTGTACATCAAAAAGCTACCTGAATCATCTCTATGTTAGGTATCAGCTTTAATTACTTTGCTATGTAAAAGCAGGCAGTAGTTCTCATTTTTACATTTTGAGTATTTTCACCAAAAAAAAAGTAAAATTATAGATTCGCTAGTCAGATTTCCTCCAAGATATCCAGAGCTTTATTGCATATAATCAGCCTTTGCTAAAAGGAGCGTGGTAAAGCCATTTGGTTAGCTATCACAACAAATCATTATTAATAAAGTTCTGCTAAATCCAAACTTTAGATATCTTAACAACTCACCCAAAACTTTTTTCAAGTTCATTAACCTCTAGCATATTTTTTTCTCTAAATACAGGCTGTTAGAGTGGTACTTTCTTCCATCTGTTAAACAACCGTGCTCTGAATTACACAGAAATTTAGCTGAATAAAAAAATGATTCATTGAATTTAATAGTTTAGACAAGGCTCTATTTTATTTCCATTTACTCAATGGCAGAATTCTCACAAAGCCCAAAAAGTACAAGACTTGGATAAACACACAGACTTCTGTTAAGTGATAAAAATCTAAGCTTTTTTTTCCCCCCTATGAAAAATTTAAACTAACTTAACTTTTTCCTTTAAGTACTGAGTGAAAGCTGCCAGATTTGTTTATGGATGTTCATTCTTGGGGGGAGCAGGGCAATGGAACAAAAAACCCACACACACAACCAAAATCCTGCAAACAGTTGGACAATAGCGTTTTCCAAGGCAAAAGGAAAAAAGAAAAAAGTTCTGCAGTTACCCAGAATCAAGTTACAATGAATAATTGGCATGTCAGCCTTCTGGAGTTTTCTAGAAATGTGTAATGAATAGTGCAGCAAAAGACATTGGGATCTATACCCAAGGATGGAATAGGCTCAAGGGAGGTCTTTCATTACACAATGCATTGTACTGTATCTTCACTGAGCAAGAGACTGAAACACCCTCCTCACATACTTGAGCTTACCTCATACAGAAAATTATGTTCATTTGTATATTTGTATACATATTCCTGGTCATTCTGCTGAAGAAATTTCAGGTTATTAATCTAAGAACTCCTATGCTCAACACTGCTGCTCTACACTACAGTCTCAAACAACATTTCAAATACATTTGTCCTACTAAGCACAGCAACAGAAAAAAAGGGTAGCTGCAGCCTCCCTTGCTCTTCTTCCTGCCTAAAACCATGCCACCTCACCACCAGAACTGAACATTACCTCTTCTACACATTACTAATTCACTTTTATAAATTATAGTTCATAACTCACTTTGTAGTTCAGAACTTACTTATTCAAATCTCCACTTCAAACATAATTGAGGGCTTGCCCGTGTAGGTAATGACTGCAAGTATCTACAACTGCGGGGAAGCCTGTGGTAAAAAATTAGCAGAATGAAATTGGTACTACAGCATGTAATAGGATAAGGGGTACCTGGTGAGGTGCAGTTGGTGCTCAGATTTACTCAGCAGTTCTGTCAGTTTTAGGCACTCCTCTCTGGCTTCTGTCACATCCTGCTGGGCTTGTTCCAAACGCTGTTTGTTCCCATTGAGCTCTAATCCCAGTTTTTCTATTTTCTTAGAAAATTATAGAACCAAAGAAAGTGTGTTTAAGAAATACATAGAGATACATTTTAAGACAAAAAAATGTGATCAAAGCACCTGAAAATAATGCACACTTCTGTTTTTGAACAAAAGTAGTTACTTGATAAAAACTGCAAAACAAGCAAATTATAGTTGAAATTACATTCTTAAGAAAAGCCAAAATGTGTTTCATATTTAAATACTCTAATATACAATCAATGTTATTGTGTTCATGCAGCTTAAGAGTTACAGGCAATCAAGAATTTTCCATTTTTCTCATGTGAAGGCTCCATATTTGTGGCTTGAATTCACTGTGCTAGAGAGCCAGAAAGGCAGTAGAACAGTGGCCATCTTCAGAAGCTGCTTGACTTAGGATAGCTCTCGTGGTAATTAATTTTTTTTTTTTTAATGCCTATTACATAGCCAGTGACAAGGGGGCATTTAGCTTTGTCACCTAATATTACACAAGAGAATAAAGGTAATTTTGTTATTTTACCATTATTGAAAAGAAGGATTTATGACTTCTAGCTGAACCCAAAACATACCAGCTGCTGTTAATCCTATTATTTTATTAATATCATTAGTCCTTATAAGTCAACATAGTAACTAAAGGTGATGAGTCTATTAACTTATTTACAAATAACCATAGTCGAGTTTGCATGACCAGCATCTTCAAGTCCAGTGATATGTACCAGACTTATGTTGTTCCAATCACATTGCCAGCAAAAATGTAAACATTTTTCATAGAAATTCTCAGAAACAATATATTTCTCTTCAAGTCTCTTCAAGTATATACAACATACAAGTACCTGTAGGAATATATCTGTAAAACAATATTATACTTTGTTCTAGAGATGCTTTTAAGAAGGCCAGTGGAGTACAGAACAAACTGACAGTATAGCTTAATCATGTAGTAACTGTTCTGCACTAACTCCCTACATAAATATTTATTTGTCATTGGGGCTGGAGGGAACTTGCATATTTTTCAGTCAACTAAACTGTGAAAGGTCATTTGTAGTACAGAATAAAATTGTTCACGTAAGGAGTTCATGCTGAATAGCTGTTATACTTTATATTTGTGATGGTTTCCTTATGTAGACAAGATGCAATATCTTCTTTAATTAATAAAATTATTCATTCAAACATCCTACAAGAACAAATGAATATAACCCCACTCCAATACAAGCATTTGAAGCACCTTCATAACAACATTGTCTCTTTACCTCCCATAAAAGTGTTAATCTAAACTACTTACATTTATGATGTCAGAGAAATACAAATCTCTTCATCCAGAAAAACACCACCATTTCAAGAGTGTTGGGGATTTTAAAATTTTGCCATTTACTTAACTGTACACCTTTTTTCCCCCCAAAGAACACTCAACAAAGGTTCATGAAGGAAATTTTGATTAGAATTTAAATGTCACCTTGCTTTATCACATGCACTTCCTACCAAATTATATTGGTATATTCCAAGTCCAAAAGCAAAGATAGTAAAACTATCTACAAAACTGTTAATACTCATCCCTTCTAAAGAATATAACAACCTGTTACACTGACAGACTATTTTAAAATCAGGTGCTCTAAGATATTCAGTTACAAATGCTTTGCATTTCCACTTTTCAGACTTTTGTGTATTTTAAATAGAAGTCTCAATGAGTTCTCTATTCTTCTTAACAGTACCAGTTCGTAAGTGTTATTTCTCCATTCATAGTAAACAGGGACATGAACTCTTCACTGTACTCACAAGTTAAAGATAGGGAAGTTCTGAAACATTGCTAAAATCTGCTTTCAAAGTGCATCCATTCAGCACACCTTTAAACAAACCCAAACCACAAATTAGTCCAAAAGCATCAGCTAAGTACTTAAAAAAAAAGCACAACCACAGCTGGGAATATAAATACACTCTAGATCGCTCCTTCAGGGAAAAGTTTCAAGGAACAGATGGGCTTTACACCATTGCCTCGAGTTAAACAGGCTCAGTCAGGTTTTGACACAGACCCACAGAAGGAAGCAAATTCCAAGTGCAAGAACCTCTGGTGAACATGTTTCGTTTCCATCAGCCAGATGTTGAACCTTCAGGGCTGCACTCAAGAACACATCCATAGATTTTAGTTGTCATGAAAGTGCAAGGGGAAATCTCAGACAGGCAAGTGTCACTTCATGACAGGGTCTTTAAACATTCACAGGTGTCTTATAATTTCTATTAGAAATATCAAGAAAATAAAAATGTGGCTTGAAGAACAATTTTACTTGTGCTACTTTCATCAGTAATGCCAAAATCCAGTATCAGCTCCTTTATACTCATGCACACATATGTTTGTGCATGTGTTTAGGTATATACAGACATACATAAACATCTTAAAATACCAGTGTTTGGAGGTGCTTGCAGCATGACCTATATTCTAGAATTCTGGTAATGATCATGGCAGAAACAGCAGACAACCTCATGAGAAAGGGATGGCAGAAAAACGCTACCCAATAAAACATGTTAACAGCAACTCAGAAACAGCCAATCCAGGTATATTTAGGCTTATCAACTAAATTGTTCTTTTTGAAACACCGAAAAATGTTCATTCAAAATCATTTGGTAGGAGCCACACACCACAGTACATTTACAGGCTGAAAACAGATCATACTCTCAACACTATGGGATAATTCAGTTTAAAACCTCAGGTAATTGTTTGAAACATGAACCCTCAGAATCTGAGACATGTTAATATAATAGAAAACAACCCTCTTCTCTCTCCTGTTAACAGTAATAGTCTCACAAATACACTCTGTCCTGAATTCTGAAACATGTCAAGTCTAGTCCATCATTAGGTCATCACAATGTAATTGGGATTTAATCTACAGAGAAATTATAGAATCAATGAATCTTCTTCACCGTCTTAGCAGGGAACCTTATCAGCAGCCTTTTTTCCCAACTTTTACTCAGAGTAATTTTTGTGTTACTTCAGTTACCATTTCTTCTATCAGGAAGCTGTAAGTAGTTCTGTAGCTGCTATCCAGGCCACAGTGTAATCGTAGCGACAGAAACAGAAACAAACCACCAACTAAAGCATTTTGCTGACAGCTCTGTTTCTCATGCAGTGTTAAGTTTCATCCCCCAGTGCCTATCACCTGTGATACAGCTTTTTACCACATGATCAGAAAGTTATTTCTTCAAGGTACTTAACTTTTCAATGTATGTGAGAGACAAGAGATGGAGCACAGAACTGCAAAAAGACAGATGACAATCTTGCATTTAAGAAAATCTGAAACAGATTTTCAGTATAACAAGGAACAGAATTATCATAATGTATACGTACAACAAGACTACATTAAGGTTAGAACAGGCAACTTCTGGTGCTTAACTCTGCAACTTTAATGTTCTTATTACTTCTGCACATAATTTCAAAAGTACTATTTAATATGTCTTCTTCTGCAGTTGCCCAAACTCCCAGGAATATCAACAGGCACTTTGCCATGGAAAGATGGCAGGCTAAACCTCAGTAAGAGAAACACCATTACTCACCATAAGCTGAAACACACTAACACCATCCTGCATCCATATTCAGCTCAGTTACACAAAAGAAGTTTTACTTAAACAAAAATGAAGCATTAGTGAAGTATCACTGCAGTAAAATTTTATTCTAAATCAATTATTCTTTTTCCAGCATTACCACCAACCACTTTTTATATTTTAAGTTTTCTACTTCGAAGCACATAGGACCATTTTGTAACTTTTCTTGAAGCACTTAAGTGTTTCACTTCTCATTCATTAGTTTGTGATTTATTTAAAAATTATCTTCAGATTTTTATAATACATTTTTAGGGGAACACACTAGAGATGTTCATTCAGTGATATAAGTGCAACTTTCTGGAAAACATAAAAGATGATTTCTCAAACACTGAATTAATCCTCAAATATCCTTTTCATAACCTATCTGACATTATCTTCAAATAACAATACTTATGCATATTGCAAAAATGCACTTTTTAATTAACTAGACATCTCTATCTGTATAAAATCTGATTAAATGAAAAAAATTCATCAAAACAAGTCAAATTAAAAATTAAAATAATTATTTCTTTTCATAAAAATGCTGATTCTATTGTATGCAAAAATACAACTTTAAATTTCAAACTAGCAGATGCTTTTCACAGAATTTTACATAACAGCAAACTGACAGAAAAGACAAATACTTATTTTTTAACAAATGAGAATGATTAAGTGGTGATAAAAAACTTTTATTCTGAAGAAAATGCAAAAAACAACTTTAGAAGACTTTTAACAAAATGAAAAATAAACTAAAACCAAATTAATTCTTAAGTGATTTATGACATTCACTGTTGTCCCAGTATGTTCACACATCAGGTGAAAAAATACACAGTATAACCTGAAAAGGAAATTCTGCACTGACTATGTCATTGCCCAAGTTCTGCAGTAAAATAATTCTGGAGAGTAAAATATTAATGTGAATTTACACTACAATTTTTTTTGTTTCATACTTCATTTGCCACCATTACTAAAAGATTGAAGGAGCATAAAATAGAACAAAATAAAGAAGAAAAAATATAAAATAATAAAAAGTGAAATATAATCACAGTGGTGGTTGGTATTTGAATGTACATACCCAAAAGGCAATCAATAAAAATATAAAATAAAAATGCAATCTATAAAGATATACACACTTGAAATTAATACACTTTAACAGGCCATGATGTTCATAAGCTTAGCCTCATTTACTAAAGTAGTCTTCAAAGCAGAGAAACTAGTGATGATACTCAGGACCAAGTCTTTTAAAGAGGTGCTCCCAGTATGGCCTTGCATGCACATTTAAAAATGCTGTGTGTACCACTGACAGGAATTTTTTGCACTTTCACACTGATCTCCATCTATGTTGCCCTCCATACCTAATAATATAGTAATTAATCAGGAACAGAACTAACTGGATTTTTTTTTTTTTAATTTAAGAAAGCTCAACAAAACAAGACTGGTTTTGTAGAAAG